TTCAAAGAGATGGAAAAGACAAATACAAACTTTATATGGAAAGGAAGGAGACCCAGGATAAACACAGCATTGCTCAAGAAGAACAAGATTGGAAGCCTCTCTCCCCGCCGATTTCAATATCTACTATACAGCTACAGTGGGTCAAAACAGCCTGGTACTGGTACAATGAAAGATACATTGATCAATGGAACAGAATAGAGAATCCAGAATTAACCCATCCACAAACAGCCAACTGATTTTCAACTAAGTGCCTAGGTATGTTACAAGGGAAGGAGAGAGTCTCTCTTTAACAGATGATACTGGCAGTACTGGAAAGCGATATACAAAACATTGAAACAAGACGTTTACCTCACACCCTATACAAAAACCAACTCAGCATGGATTAAAGACCTAGATGTGAATCCCAAAATTGTGAAAATCATCAATGAAAAAATCGGGACAAATGTGAGGGCTCTAATACAGGGAATACACAGATTACCAAACATTTTGAAAATTACACAAACAAAAGTAGATAAAATAGATGATTGGGATATATTAAAAATTAAAAACTTATGTGCATCAAAAGACTTCACCAAAAGAGTAAAAGCAATGACACATCAGAAAAGGGACTTATTTCTAAAATATATAGGAAACTACAACACCTCTACAAGAAAAAGACAAATAACCCAATTTTAAAAATGGGTGCAGGACATGAACAGACACTTCACCAAGGAAGAGATCCGGGCATACAACAAATACAAATAAATGTTCATGATCACTAGCCATTAGAGAGATGCAAATCAAAACAACAATGATATATCATCTCACACCAGCAATAACAGCAAAGATCAAAAAAGTAGAGGAAAATAAATGCTGGTGGGAATGTGGAGAGACTGAGATCCTCCTACATTGCTGGTGGGATTCCAAAATGGTCCAGCCTCTCTGGAAAGCAATTTGGCCCTTCCTCAGAAGTTTGGAAATAGAAATACCTTATGATCCAGCAATTCCTCTACTTGGTATTTACCCACAAGAAATATGAGCCATAACATGAGTGGGTATATGCACACCAATGTTCACAGCAACACTATTTACAATAGCAAAAATATGGAGACAGTGTAAGTGCCCCTCAATTGAAGAATGGATAAACAAACTGTGCTACATACACGCAATGGAATACTATGCTACCTTGAAGAACAACAAGGAAGCTGCAAGCCACCACATAACATGGATGAACCTTTAGGACATTATGATGAGAAAAATTAGTCAGTCACAAAAGGAGAAATACTGCATAGGACCATTATTGTAAGAGTAAAGAAAATGATCCCACACTAAAAGGGGGGGAGGGGAATTATATATATATTTGCTGATCACCAGGATGTATGGGATGAGAAGGGGAGAGAGGGAAGGGAAGAGAGAGCAAAGGTTAAGGAATAGACACAGGATAGCTTGGGGGCAGAGGGGCAATACACAAGAAGAGGGAGGGGAATGGAAGAACAAGGCTGATAGGAGAATAGTTAGGCAGGTTCGCATGGGCTAACTGGGACAGAGGTAAATGATGATGTATGTACAACCTTGGAACAACAGGGCTCTGGGATACAGGGATTGAGGCACAGTTTGAAGGGGTAAAATAAGGGAATAGTGTTAAGATGCTTGACTGTCTTTTGAATCTTGGTTTGGTGTGGCGCTGTGGGTTAATGCGTCAGACTGCAAAGCCATTTGAACTGCAAGGTTGGCAGTTCAAGCTCACTAGACGCTCCTCAGAAACCCTATACAGGGTCGCTATGGGTCAGAACCAACTCGACAGCACTTCACAACAACAACAAACCATTATAAAATAGACACTTGCCGTGGGTTAAAAGGAATAGCCAGAATCTTTACTACAGAAAGCTTGTAAGTCTATCTTCAGCCTATAACTGATTGGAATACCTTAAAGGGTGCTAGAAGTTGCCCAGTGAAAGAGGCTTCCTGTGGAGCCTTTACATTGCACAAGACCATAGGTGGAATCCAGAGCCCCATCCAGAACCGACTGAGGTAGGATATATCCACTGGAAAGGACTAGTAGACCAGCCTGGAACAGCTAAAATAACAGAAGATACTTTATGAAAGAAAGACCGGGAGGAAAAATCCGAAATAATAATGGCAGTCTGATTGATTACTACAAGAACAAGTAAGCAGTTCGCCCAGGAGCCATCAAGGCAAGTGGTCGGGACCCCTCAGAGCAAACTCCCTTCCAAGGCTGAGACTTAAGGGGAATACATGAGCAGGCATGTGGTTTGGCTGGTGACCACATTGGTCACCGATAAAGGAAGAGGTGGGGAAAACAGCAATGAAGTTGTGAGCTAAGCTCGACCACATTCAATAGACCCTTGTGAACCCGGGTGGATACCTGGATGGCCAACAGTAAGGCAAAACCCGGGGACTGCGGGGCCCAGAGGCAGTGACATGGCCACAGAGGACTAGAGCAGAGAGTGAAGTGTCCAGCTGATATGAAGTGAGGGGAGATGCACAAGAACACCTATACTTGCAGATAATGCCCACTTGACCTGGCTTCGATGGCTGGATGATCAGAACTCGACTAAAAGAAGAAAGAAGAGGGGTAAAAAAAAGAGTAACCTACTACAATTTGATGAACTTTACCTATACTTATAGATGTAGTAGCTCAAAAAAAGGAACACATCTTTACAGTGAGGATCACTCCCACCCCCTTGGTACACAGGGTTGACAGGGATGGGCAACATAGACATTGGCTACCCAAAATGGGGGAGCCTATAAAGGCAAGAAGTGACTGACTTACAAGCTTTCAAGAGGGGGCCTAGTTCCAGAATGGGCGGGTGAAAGTAGAATCGCCACGGAATGATTTCCATTCCGTGTGATCTGGCTGTAGAAAGGAAATGGGGATAAGACTCTTGTGGTACAATGGTGAATAATTGCCCTCAGGTCTGACTGTGAGGCTAGGAAATATAGAGGTAGATGTTTTTTGACAAAAGGAAGTGAGTGATTGATTTTGAAGCCCAGGAGCGGAGGTCACTTGGACTATCAAGTGACAAGAGTGGAGAGCGGGACCCTACCCAGAGAGGCAGTGACACCAGGGATGGAGACAGAGATGATGACATGGATAGATGGAGTGGCTGGGCACACTGGACTCAAGGAAGGAGAAGGGCTGTGTGCTGGAGGCCGGGGAGGTGGGCCTGTGTGATTATTTGATGATGCATGGAGGAGATTGTAACCATTGCAATGAAACAAAACATGATAGGATGAGTGTAATGCTGATGTTCTGCCATGTAAACCTCACAATAAAAACTTAAAAAAAAAATAAAAATAAGGTACAATGAATCTATATTGAATATATACTCATGGAAAGTTTCAAACCTTACAGCAATCAAAACAAAAGATTTTTAATTGTTGTATTGAGGCATAGTTTTCACATAATAAAAATTTACACATTGTAAGTATATTACTCTATGATTTTTAATAGATGCAATCAACTTTGTGAAATCCTGGTGTGGCGCTGTAGGATCAAAACTGGACTGGGAAGAACGAGGGCAGCAATTGAAACCCACCTGCTGCTCCTTAGAAAACCTATGCAGTCTTGTTATGAGTCTGAACTGACTCCATGGCACTAAACAACAACAATCAATTGTGCAT